CACACACACACACACACACACACACACACACACACACACACAAAATGCACTCTCAGACAGGGACTGGTGTTGCTATGTGTGAGAGGAGTTTTCCAATACAGCTCATACCATCCAAGGTTAGGCTGGACAATGGATTATTCACCACCCTGCCCTGTGACATGCACACTCACACACACACACGCACACACACACGCACACACACATGCACACACACACACACACACACACACACACACATATACAGAGAGCGAAATGGTGGAGTTGTTCATTAACTTCACAATTTTGGCTGGGAGATATTTTCACACACATCTACACACACAGCACTTTTAAGCCATTGACATCATAATTCACCACTCCCGGTGCAGACTGGGATATCATCCAACTGCTGTTCCCCGTGTGCTTTGTTCACACACACACACACACAGGCAACAACCTGACTCTTTTATGCAAGTTACTTTTTTTTACCTCACTGCTGAGTAACTCCCTGGGCCTCCCTCTGTGTCACCATGGAAACCACCACAATATGTTTATTAGGAGTAGGTGTTCAGTGGAACTCCCCTACCCCAGAATGTTGTGCAATCTGACCGGCTGATGGGGGCTCCGTTGCAGACTCACGGCACCAGGGGAAATCAAATGGAGACTGGACGTGTTTTAGTTTTTTCATAATACAGAGTACGTTGAAGGAGTCGTGGCTGCTTGTGCGTACGTGTCTGAGTTTTGTGCGTGTGTGTGTTTTCCCTTCCAACAATCTCAATACGGTTGTTTCCTCGTCTAACTCCGCCCTCCCCTCCTCTCTCCCTTTGAACTCACCCTTGACCCAGCTCCACCCAAACTGAGCCGGGGGTTTTCCTCCAGAAAACTGCCTCAGCCTCTAAGATGCTCTCACCAAGCCTGTCAGGATTTACCCCCTGAAACTATTTATGTGCTTGTGTGAAGCTGCAAGATGTTTGAAGTGTAGACCTTTGTTTTTCTTATTTCTTGAACAAATGAAACTTTAAACACTTCTTAAAACATGTATGTTGGTACAAAACTGATTTATGAGGCTGGGATTCAGTCGTCTGTGAAAAATATATTATCTCTATCAAACATGATTTTGTCAGCCAAGGTGATTTCAGAATTTTACCTGTTTTGAGATGAGGAATCTGAAGTTCCAGCATCTTCTTTCAGATCCAGACTCACCTGTGTGTCAGACCGGTCAGACACAGTAATATGCGGAGAGCTGCTTCCCTCTAGTGACTCTCAGCGCCCCCCATATCACAGGGCACAACTCCTCTTGTTTTATATTAAGAGAATTAATAGCTCCATCTACAGGATGATTGTTGAACTAACACTGATTTAAGAGTCAGTTTGATTTTCCAGGCAGGTTTTCACATGAGATTCTGCTTCATATATTTATTACTTGCTTTAAATTAAGTCGTCCACTAACCAG